GCTGAGCTCTAATAAAACTGTGGTGCGAACATTATATACAGGGAAAGGGGGGCAAAAAGAGTCACTCCTACTCACATTCAAAACAGAATTAATTACACTTTGCCAAAACCAAACCGAATGAGCTCAATTGCATATTGAAGAGCACATTCTATTCTATCAAAAACATTGCATAGTGGCCTTCTAAACCGACGACACCAGAAGATTTTCCCACGGAAACATGGTTCGCGGTACGAGCTCAACGGGGTCGTCGAGAAACCATAGATGATTACGACGTCTCTGAAACGCTGGTCAAAAGCCATTTTGCATCACGCTCGACAGAGCTAGTGTCTCTCAGAAGTCATTCACCAGTTATCCGATTGAAGAATTATGTAGCAGCTTCAGAATGGAGCGATTATGTAGGCCTCCTTGAGCTCGACGGTGATGACAGATGACGTCATATTCTGGAGACGGTGAACGCAGCGAAGGTGGGCCTGATTCTGCTTATGGGGGGACATCTAAGGAATAATTTGCCGTATAACTCCCAATAACAGCGGCATCCTTTGCGACGAAAAGTTTGATGATATGCGCCATAGGCAAAGTGACTTTTTTTGCCCCCCCCCTGTATTCGCAAGCGGTCCACGTGGACCCTAAAGTGCCCGCAAGAGATTACCCGAGCTAAAGAACGTAAAGAGTTGAGAATCAATGCCTTAACGCCTAGCCCAATTCGGCCCACTCCTTTCAATATTACCCGGCCTGATCTCGCAAGATACCATGTCTGGTCCGGCGGGAGGGACATGCAACAAAATCGGCAGAGTTTACCACGAGACTCATAAGTCGGTCCAGAGGCATTCCGTAGATCGGGGAAAAGCGGAGAAGTGGTGACGAAGAAGGGAAGGTCAAAAGCCATCGGTGTATGGGCATGGGCCAAGCGGATAGAATCTAGCTTAGAAGTCAAATATTCGTAGTGTATCGGGCCAAATTTGAGAATTTACGCCGCACCATCCCATATCGCCGCAGAACTGTGTTGTGCGCGCAACAGCGTGCGGCGCCAACTGGTATTCTATACTTATTCTAGGTGCTAAGTGGGTTGGGGGGGCCACGCGGCGGCGCGGCAGTCTGCTCGCCTGGCATGTTCGGAAATCCGTGGGCCAGGGGGAGTGTAGGCAGTCTAGGGGGGGGGTGGGGGCAGTCACTTGACATGCGTGAAAAGCTGGAATGTTCGAGTTTACACTGTCTCGCTCGAGAGAGCCCAGGTGAGCAGACTGCCGCGCCGCCGCGTGGTCCCCCCCCCAACTAAGTTAGCACCTTATTCTAATGTTTCCTCCATTCCTATTCGTATGGCCAATTCGTTAACCAATCCAAAATAGACGCGTTGAAAGACATCGACATCAAATTAGGCGTGAGATTACGATAGCTGCAAATTGTACGCAATTGCGGAGTTTATGCAAGCATTGCAGTGTACCAGTAAATAGACATCACGATAGTGACCGGTTCGTTACAGCTGTTCCTCCCATCGGTGACCATTCCTTGTCCCTTCTTCCCTTTTGCTTCATTTTGGCATGAAATGCTTTGCTAGCCGTGCGCAAATAGACTTCTTCACGTGCCCTCCTGCCCACCTTTCAGTTGTTCAAGGGTGAAGCTTAAGGTGCGGAGGAATTGTGACCGTCTTGCAGTTCGAGGGTGGAATAGATACATATCGATCATGTGGTGAGCGATTGCTATTCAATGGGTATCAACTCTACACTCTAACTGCGAACAAAATGCAATGTAGACGCAAAGTACGATTGCACACTCATGCTGCATGTGTGAGTGTGAGTCTCGAGGACAGAAGGCGAATTTTTGCTTCTCCGATTTTTCGCTGCGGGAAAGCACTTGACTTATTCTAAAGACCGACTTCGTGTTTATCGATAGTTCTTGGCTATGAGTGGATCTGGGATCCCCCAGTAAAAGCTTCTCGCTGCAAAAGTGAAAAATCACCCCCTGTCCTAGCGACCGTCACCCTTGCATGTGTTTCTATTTTCTTAGAGCGCATGGTGCAAATTCCGGGCCTATTCCATTTGGGGGGGGGGGCATCATGATGCGACTTAGTGTCAACTTGAACATTCAAGCTTTTCACACATGTCAAGTGACTGTCCTCACCCCGCACCCCCTTACACTCCTTCGGGCGCACGCATAGTCGGTCGGACGACAGCAACGATCGTAACTGTCGCACAGCATTGGATGCGTATCGATCGTCGGACTTGCCTGAGTATTCGACGATTAGATGCAGTTAGACAGTCAGACAGTTGCGATCGTTGCTGTCGGACGACCGACTATGCGTGCGCCCTCCTGACGGACTACTTGAACTCAGCCCTTTAAACCGCCTCTGCGCTCTCTCGCGGGTCCCTCTCCTCTCCAAGGCTTAGTCCTAGGGCATTCACCCGTTCTCTAATCGTCTGTGCTCTAGCCATCGCGGCAGGACCATTGAGGAAAAATCAAGTAGTCCGTAAACCATTTCATTCTTGTTGTAGAAATACGAGCAAGGGGGAGAGAATTTTTTCTCACTGACAGTGATTCAGGACTGGAAGGGTTATGGATCGGTTTTTTGCCCTCTACAACACTTATCAAAGTATCTCTTGGGTCTAGTTGTGATTTGCAAACTGAATCTGGAAACATCAGTCAGGCAAAACTCACATCTCCGAAAGGTGTAATTCATCACGGGAAATGACTTGATGCATCCATGTGAGGTAAATTAAATGAAGAAACCTGTTGTATTACAGAAGAGCAATGCAGTCTTCATCAACTTTGCTGTTACGCGATGACATCTTGAAGCCGCAAACGTCAGAAGAAGTTCATCGATTCATAATCTTAGACGCACCCAACCTCATGCACATGACAAAAACGAAGGAAAGTGAGTGAGTTTGTAATGTTCTCTGGTTTCTTTTGTCAAAAGGAAATCAGTAGGGTTCATAATCAATGCCGTTGGTGAAAATCTTGCAATTACTCTAAGACCGCGATCATACTTGCAACCATCTTGCCGTTCGTTTTGCAGTGCAAATTTGGAGTAGGTACGTATAGTCACGCGATCCTGCGATCGCACGAGTGCACGATCGCACATGGATCGCTTGGTATCCACTTCACGAAATCGCAAACTATGAACGCGGCCTAATGTAATCAGTATTATCTCGCCTAACAACAAAAATTCGTAAAGCAGAGTTTATGCTCATAGCCATACTTAATAATCGAGATTTACTGAGTAAGACCGTATGTGTATTCACCAGTCTATTAAAAGGGGCGCAGAATCGGCTGATGCATCGTTTAAGTTTATTGGCTGATTCCGTAACCTGAGTGGTTCGCAGGTTACTGCTTTATGAATACTAGTGCATTGGGAAAATTAAATAAAAAGCAGGCAAATTCAGCGAGACTTCTTTATGCTGCGGGTATTGACTATTGCGCATATGTCGCGTTTTCCTGATCGTTTCAAAACACTGTAATATGAATGGGCCATGGGTTTTTTTAAAATCAGGATCAAAAAACAGATTGCTTGTTGCATTGTCCCTTTTTCCCACAACTTTCACGCTTTGGCACGTTACGAAATACCGACCTAAAAACTCAAGGATAATTTTGCGCCAAATTTCAGTGTGTAGCAGTACCACTTTATCAACCGTAAATTTTGAGAACCTCTCCAATCACTATTTATGTACAGTATCGCTCAAAACTTTCCTCCTTTTTTCTTTAATTTTCTTCTCTCAAAAAAGTCTATTTTTGTCTTATTACTTTGAAATTTTTCTTTCGAATGTCTCGAATGCCTAGAAATCAAGGATTCAAAAACAATGGAAAACACATCATATCAATATAATATAAAGGGACATGCTTAGGTGAGAAAACCAGTGCACGGAAATCGTTTTGGCGAAGATATATGAACGCTACTGTATTTATAACTTAATTCAAGTTTTACGATGAGATATAAATCAACACGATGGAAGCATTACTCACGTTGGGCATTCTCAGCCACCTACTCGTTTCAGGCAGAACAAAGTGAGCGTTGCCGGGTTACTTGCCGTGATGAGGTACTTCTTCAAGAATGACTTTGATGTATTAGCTGTTTCACAGCGAAAATACACACGTGACGCCACTGTATCCCACAAATTTGCTGTGGATGTGAGTTTCACCAGATACTGGCTTTGGTCTTCACATGTCGCAAGCACAGTCACATCCTTTCCAGCAGCTCGAAACCATGGGCCTCATGTATTTGGCTGAGGGCCACACTCTCGATGATGTTGTTGCCCTCGAAATGGCCTACACGACAGATGGTGTTGTTGTCTCAAACGACCAGTTTTTGTGGGTGCTTAATATTGAGTTCAACCTCTTTTTTTCTGCTTTAGTTCTTACCAGGTGACTCGCCTTGCTCATATTAACACGTTGACGACTGTGTGCGTGTATGCCCATCTCTTTTAAAAAATTTCATATACTTCACTTTCCCATCAAAAACTTCGTCATTTGTGATAAAAGGACTATGTAGTACTAGTACTTTTTTTACTGCATTTATTGCAGAGTTCATCACTCTATACTTTCTTTGTGAACTAGGAACTTTCTTTCAAATAGTTTTCCTATCCAGTTCACGAGGTTTATAAACCTCGTTATGAGCCTTGCATGAAAGGTCGTCCGATATCGTAACGATCATAAAGATCGCATAAACCTCGGTCGCATAGGGGAAGCGACGCGGTAGGGAAACCCAGGCAACAGGTGACTGTGCCTCCCGATATTTCGCTAGTCCATTTGTAGTGTGGAGTAGTAGCTGCTATCGATCGTGTGACATCGTAAGGATCGTAAGTGTCGCCCTTTTGACGATCGATACGTATGTAATGCTGTGCGATCTTAACGTTCTTGGACTTCAACCCTATGAAAAAATAATAGTAAATGACTCCTTTCAAGTGCACTTTTGATAAGGACCGGTGTAGCCCTACATCACGCACATCCTGCTCACATCCTAGGCAATTTATGGCATATGTTGATCGTCCACCCTGGCTCCTACACCCTTGCGCCTAGGAAAGGATGTCCATACCCTAGTTCAGGACCATTTCCTTGGACCACAGCAGGCCGAAATCTGAAAGCACCTTAGGAGTACTTTCCACTACACCGGTCCTTATCAGAAGTAATTTAAATGAATCGATTACGTGTCATGAAACTCTTATCCTTATCTTAGTATTGGAGAGCACAATAAAGTGCTCCCCACCCCAACCCTGAGCTGGAATTTCACCGGTTGCGTTGTTGTTCACAAGCTAACAACATGGTCGATCTCCGAGCCACCTTGTAGGAACGTTCGTAAATTGCCACAGTTAGGAGGCTGCTAGCTTTTGGATAACTCGGGCCCATTTCAAGCGGGTATTTAAAACGTTGACGACATGTGACATGGTGTCATGTCGCTCTTTCGGGACACGAGACCATGTGACTTGTTGCTGTGTCACCGTCTCGTTTCAGCTGGTTTTCAAACGTTTAAGAGAACTTCCTTCAGGTAATGTGTAGTCAATGCTTACGCAGTGCCAAATAAAAAATCGTTCCAGAAAATAAATGTTGATTGCTGAGTAATCGTTTTTTTTTTCACAAAAAATACATGAGTGACTATTTGGGACCGCACTTTTTGTTATCAGACTTTCAAACTGAAAGCAGGGTGCCTTCTAACGCCCGGCTCTTTAAAGGCTCCGAAGAAGGCGAGTGCGCCGAAACGTAAGCCGAATAAATCATATTCCACATATGAAAGCAGTTAGTTCAAAAATAACATTTTTAATAATGATTTGCTGCAACATGTGCGGGCGCTGACTGGAGGCGGTACATCTGCGCGTCCTTTGTTCCTCCTTGATTTGTTTGTAGCCGCCTCTGCATCGTATGACAACATTTACCTTTGCCTTACGCCAGTTTGCAATCTATGAGTGGTTCGGATATTTAAGTTGAATTGCAATCCTAAAATTCTTTCAAAAGTTCGAGTTTGTAATCAATCAAATTGATTTTGGACATTCTTGCTTACAGTACAGGTATCTGGAGCTGATCATGATGCGGCGACTTTGTCCGCGCGCTGGCTTTGGCCACTTTTACACGCCTCAATTCGTGCGAATCGCTTAAACTGTCAACATTGCGAAACGTGATACCTGCCACGCAACAAAATTTAACAAATAAACAGCTCCCCGACAAGTTATTCTCCTGGGACCGCGCTGCATGATGTATCTCATTCACATTGCCACAAAAAATGCTCGTTTATACACACTAAAAAACGAAAACTCAGTCGTCAGTGTGTTAAAACAGCTCTTACGGTACCGTATAGTACAATCCATATCTCGCCGTGTGATTAGGCAGAGTTGACGTGGGCCGCACTTGATAGGATTTGTGTGTATGAGCTGTTCCCAGTCGTTTTGCTGATTTTCAGCGAAGCATTTTGGAAATATTTCATACACGCGTCTTCTACCAAGTGTGGCGGACGTCACGTCAAATCCATAGACCCGCTCGGTCAGACGGTGAGATGTTAACTGTACAGTGAAGTTATACACGCAATTGCAGAGATCATATGCAGCTTTCTCAGCGTTTCTGCAACCTCGGCGATCGTTGTGTCTCAATCGCACTTGAGCAAGTGAAGCCATCTGATCGATATACAATGAGCTCTAACGGTCACTATATTGCTGAGCATACCTTTCGCTTTCACCGCCGTCCGTCATCACAGAGTTCTTTCAATTTCCAGACATCGTCTGGCCCGCACGGTATGGTCGTAGCGTCTTAGAAGAATCCGTGTAATTACCTTTCATTTTGCTGTTTCAACACGATTTTTCCAGGTGCATTTTTCTCTACACCGAACAATATTCGGCATGAAATCGTGAAAGAACATCGTCAGAACTGGACCACTGACTATCGTGATCAAACCATTTCCATGATCGACGAAATGCTCACCAAAATTCGGTTAGTGTATTGTCAGGCTTTGTATGCTCTTTTGGACTGCAGAAGCACATGAAGGCTATTGTAAAGGTGAGCACAATCAAATTGTGGCCAGTTTGAAAAATTAATTCGTAAAGCAGTGAAGACTTCGCTCAGGCAGCATAACAAGAGCAATGAAGGATGGGGAAGTGGAACCTTAAAAACCGTGTGTAAAGGCAAGCAATCGAAAATAAATGAGTGAAGAAGTGAATTTTCTTTAAGCCGTAGTTTTTGACCATAGTTTTTTCGCTGTTTCGATTTTTCTCTTCAGGTGATTCTTTTTCGTTGCCTGAAGTGTCTTCGGTGTACGCTCTGCAACTGTCAGTAGCCCTATCTCGCTCTTTCGTTTCTTGGACATTTCCTCTGAACTATGATCTAGCAGGAGTTTTCCGCGGCAAATGCCTAATTCATGAAGTGCTGTGTAATTCACTCACAGGGACTTTTGCTCACTGGGCCATTCTTATTGCTTTTGCCAAGGAAGAAATTCATTGGGGTGTACGGTTTCATTTAAGAAAAAAACCAATGGCTTTTTTGCAATGATCATTGCGTGAAAGTTGTTCAAGTGTAGTATATGTGATCCCGTATCTTTCTTTAGGCGACTTCGTTTACATTTATTTGAAATGCTGATGGTATGATAAGTTAAGCATTCGTTAGAAATCGAAGAAGACGGCTGATATATGCATAGAGGTGGGAAATCAAGAGAAACGGCCCAGAGATAGCAAAAGGGACCCTCCTTTATCCACTGATATTTGAGCTGAATAAGAGTTAAATACTGAGGTTATTCGAATTGGATGCTATCCATTGCCTTCGTGCCAAAAGGGCTGCAGTTAGACGACGAGGGACCAGGGACAGCAAGTCAGTTGGCGGACGAATGCACGAAGGGTTCAGAGGGGCGGCTAAAATTTTATAACCTCGCTAAAATCACACCGTTTCCCGCAAATGTGTCACGCTTTGGTCCCTTTGGGGCCGAGCCTTTTTATAGTGAGGAGTTTTTCGCCTGAAAAGAAATTGTGGTGCGCGACAAAGCGATGACATGGCTACGCGATACACATGTACCCGCGCAGACCACCGCAACCTGCAAAGTGCGAGTGGTGCAAGCGAACAGTCACGCTCACGTGGCCTAAACATAAGAAAAAAAAACATGAAATAGTTTTTAAAAGGCTTCCGATTTAGAAGAATAATATGAGGAAAGTGTAGGTAGCTCAGTCGATTGGGGAGTGCTGAGCGTAGAAGAGCGATTGAAAAACTATGCTTGAATGCTGAAAGCTTTGAGCGGTTATGCGCCAATTGCTAATCAGCAAATGTACCAATCTGCGATTTGCGGGTTTGCACATTTGATGCTGTCGCGAAGTAAATTGTTTCACATCGCAGTTTCTAACGTGAGCTCGAGGAAACAAATCGTGACTTGACTTATCATCAGGTGTGGTTTGCTAAACGTTTTCAATGACTGTTCTGAATTTCAGGACAACTGAGTTACCCTAGGAAGACGCATCAATAAAGGTCGTCGAACGTACACGATCTCATGGCTACTCATTCAACATGTTCAATTTTGATGTGGAAATCCGCACTTATCATTACTTCAAATCACTTGCTACGGACGGATGTGGTGTAGTAGCACACTGGCGCCACTTACCAAATGCAAGGCGAAGGATCGAATCCTGCTCAGACCGACAAGTCTTCTATCCCTTCGTGGTCGGCTACTGGTAACCAGGCGTACTCGAGAGAAAGAAACCAACTACTTGTGCATTATCTGGCTCTCTACGACATTGTATAGGTCATGTCGCATTGAAGTGTCACTGCGATCCTGAATGCAGTTGGAATGCATCATGCATTTCAAAATAAGATTGATCGACGCCCTTAGAGGGAAGGGTCGCGGCTCAGCCTCACTGAAGATTTCTTCCGTGGATAGAAGTACTAGCTCCACCACTGCAGTGGTCGTGCCATTTTTGTGCCTCTGAACACGTCACCAAGTCGCTAGGCGCTTAGGACTTGGATCCTCCCACGCCCAGAAGGATCCGCGCCCGCTCACCGTCTTGATATTTCATCTGTGTCGTATCCTGGTCTGCTATGTTCTCTGACCTCAAAATCTTTTCCTCTCCGCGAATCGAATTATCTCTTATTTCGCTGTCTGCCTCTCACCTTCCCATCTCTCGGCAGAGTTGAGCCAAGAGTTCCTTACTTATTGTGTTTTTGACAACTCCTTTTTCTCCAATTGTGGTCCCTTCTCATCCTTACTCCCGTATTCGTTTGGGATTACCACATCAATTCGATCCTGACCCTTGCCTTCAATCATTTTCGTCCTGCTCATCAAGCACGAAAAATTTGTGCCTGGCAATTGGTGGCAAGTTCGGTTGTGGGGGCAAGAAATAAACGCTATTCCCTGTACCTCAATGGACCGTATGCACATTGGGTACCATTAGTGTTTCCTGAATTTAAACTAAATGTGTTTCAATCACATTTAGCTGTTTTGTAATGTATTTCACCTCCTAGTTTCCACCCAACTTCGTCAGAATACCTTCAAAAACTTTGCTTCCTTGATAATGGGAGCATAAAAGTGGCATCCAGTGACTTGATTAAAAGATTTTGAGCAGGGTCAACCGTCCGTTGGACAAAGTCCAACGCATGGCTCTCTAGCGTGTGAGAGTAATGCCGAGAGTGAACGTACGCACGGAGACACAGACGGCTCGCGGGTGGCGAGAGTGAATGCCGGCGCGGAGAGCGGTCAACATCGGTCCAACGTCGGTCCAATGTCGGTCCAACGTAACGGTTGACCCTGATTATGAGTGGGACCAAGAAAATAGACTGTAAGTGAGGGTAACGGTACATGTGCTGTCTTCAAGGCAGGTGTCAAACTTCGCGAAAATTCGCTGGCCAATTGCGCCATTATTTGTAGTTACGCGAGTGTAATTCCTCAACGAGTAATCACCTTTTGTGCTTTTTTATGAAAAACTAACAGCGAATCGCTCGGCATTGACCAATGTCGTGAGTGATGCGCAATCACCAGGCTTTCATTTTGAATTGTGTTTTTGTGAATTTAATTTGTGAATTGTTTGAATTCCATTTGAGGTCTATACAATGAGCTGGAAGGTCCAGCAGGTGCACAACTCAGAGTTTTCAACCTCTCATACAAGTGTGGTGCTAATTAACCGACCCCGAGGGAGGAAGTCTTGATTCACTTGATTTATTGTACAGTGCTGTTTATAAGATCTGACATCGTGTATTTCCGAAATTAGCATTAATAAGTATTCGTCCGCTTATTTACTCAATTACTTGTATTACTGATGTGCTTCGTGCCATAGCGAAATGCAGTGGTTCGTCTGAGTGAAGGCTAACTCGTCAGAGTGTCTCTGTGATATTGTTTTCGTTATATGTGTGTATGTGTATGTGTGTGTGTTTTATTCAGAGTACTTTGCGCTTTTTCTCGAAGAATCATGTATTGTGAATTGAGGTGAAACCATTTCATACTTGTACATCCCGTTTTATCCGGTTGGCATAAAGTGTTGATACTCACAGTTTGTTTTCATGATAATTGGTTAGAACCGATCCGGTATCTCCTATTGTGAAGTATTTCATTGTTTCACTCTTATTCATTCTACTCGGTAGGGCTGCGCTTTCTAATGTACCTCTGGTCTGAAAATTTATTTAGCAAGCAATTCACTGTCTTTAAGGTATTGGTCAGGTTCGTTTTGCTGTAGATGGCTCCAGTTACGGTTAGTGGATGTTACGTTACTTTTATTCCTAGTTATTATATGTACGTTGCTCTTGAACTATGACGCGGCTGTTAGCATATTCTAATTGTAATGTCGCTAGATACATGCGACACTATTTCTGGAATTTTGGCGATATTCAAGGGACGAGGAAGTGTTCTGTTAGTATATCCATCAACCTGGCCCAATTTTAGCTAACAATCAAGGCAATTTGAGGCGAAGCGCTCTTTTATAGGGGGTGTTTATTCATCAGTCTTCGATTAGTTTCAAAGGGTCGTTTCGGACTCAAAATAAATATTGCGCCATCCTTTTTGATATTACCAGTTCTTTTTTATTACGGCCAGGTCTTTCTTCCAGAGTCTCTCATGAACATCTTCACCTCAAGGTGCAACTCCACCATCTTATGTTGTAGTTGCGAGTGTATTGAGTGGTGTCTGATGGACTGGAATCACTATAGCTCATTAGGTTGAAACTGTACGATCCTACGGCCGCTTTCATAGTTCGCGATTTGGGGATTAGGATAGTAGTAGAGTAGGAGATTGCGCTGACAAGATTGGATACGTATCGATTGAAATCGCTGGAGAGTAGTAGATTGGGCGACTTCAAGCGAATAGATCAATACATATCTAATCTTGTCAGCGCACTATCCTACTCTACTACTATCCTAATCTACTACTATCCTAATCTCCCGTCAATACATATCTTTTTCATTGTCGCGTACTATCCTAATCTCCGGAGTCGCGAACTATGAACGCAGCCTACTGTTTTTCGTGTTTTGTTAGCTTTCTGTTATCGGTTTCCTTATCAAACCACAGGGGTGTTCGGTCCAATATTTCAGTTAGGTAGGTGGAAACTGATAAAATAGGTGTTAACAAATGCGCAGACGTTTTTTTATCAGCACATGGTAGCGAGTAGATCGATTTATTTCCGATAATATTACCATGCACATCGATGGCAATTAGTATAATGTAGGTGATGATAAGTTCGAGAACCCGCTTTCTCTACAAAATATTGCCAGCACACTGTATCCATTGTTGCTTGCTGGAGACGCATCAGTGTTGCGTCAGAATTGAACCGGCTCGCAATGAGGTAGATCCTTGTTTGATATTTGCAGGCTCGCCGCTCCCAGGCAACAAAGAAGAAAGCCGCTGTGGGCCATCGAGAAAGTTCAAATCGATACATGTCTCCGAAGATTATTCAGGATGCGAATGAAACTTCGAAAGTCACATGCTTCTTTGACGAATCACTCCTGGCATGCGATATTTGTTTGGAAGTAATGCATAATGCGATGAAGTGAGTTCGGCTCTTGCCATATAATTCCAGAATGCCTTTTCAAATTCCTTGCTGTCTTTCTTCTATTTGAATTTCGACTTTCATAAACCTCTACTGGTTTGCAGTTTTGTTTAACTTCTCATGCTTTTTTGTTGCCTTTTTAAAATTTTCATTATTTTTTTTAGTTTTCTCCATTTATTGATTTTATCATGATGCTTTTGCGTTCCTTTTCAGTGAGTGAATGAGAATGGGGTATTGTTCACTTCTTACCACCATTTTTCAAAGATAGAAGTCAATTTATTTCGAAGGTTGATTGCGTTGTTGAATTACACTAGAAATAGGCTCGCGGGGTAATTTGAACCCAGGGATACGAATATCGCATCGATGTAAAGAGAAAGTGCTTTTCGCTGGCATCACCAATTGTTGAATCGTTAAAGCTGCTGAACACTTGCCTTAAGACGTACCTATTTTGATTCGCGAATTTCACGCTCGTTCACCATAAAGGTGCTCAGAACTCGCCCAAGGCACATACTACGAACAAGTGTAATAGTGCCATCGCAAAGCACCTTCTCACCGAATGGATGTGATGTTTGTGCCCAACTACCCAGATTACACTTGGAGGCAAATTCGTATCTAAGATTCGGCAACAGAGAGAAATTTCGAAAAATTTCGCCTGTCCTGTAAATCAGGGGCATTAAAGGGAGGATGATAACATGGATGGTTATCATTTTTCATATCGGAATTGCTTACAATCAGAGGGAGAGTGTCAGTAACTCAAAAGGAGAGCATAAGGACCGATTTTGCAAACATAAGCTTTCTTCAATTTAGCAAGTTGGAGTATTCTCTGAGTTTGTCGAAGCATCCATTTGATTCAATTGGTTGTAGTAAAATTCACGTTTAGTGTATCTCCATGCAATCATAAATTTTGTGCTGGATGTATCTATGAGTGGAATTCGTTGAACTCAAAATGCCCAAAGGTTGGACCGTTTTTTAAGGACCTGTACTGTGAAGATTGCGAGGCATTTCTTTTGATTTCAGTGCCGTTGGAGCGCTGTGGACATAACTCGTGATACGACGATAAATGCCATCATCGAGCAATACCTCCAAGCGTTTCCAGGTTCGTGGATGTTAGATGTGCTTCTACCAATGAGTTGTAGTCTAATTCGTAATTGAGTTTACTTTTGTGTCTGTGATAGATCACCTTATAGATCTTTAGAACTCCTTTAGTGATCCTTAGAATTCCTTACCTATACGACTTTGTCACTCTCTATTTCCTCTTTGTTCATTTTATTTCTTCCATAGTATCTGGTTTCACTGATATTTTCCAGAAAAGCGGCGTGATGAAGCCCAGTTGATTGAACTTGACGAGCGAGAGCTGGATCACTTGGAGAAATGGGAACGAAAACGAGACTCGGATGAGGGGGACTACGAATACGACATGGACGACCAGTATTTTGAGGTAGCCTCTTTTCTACTAGTCGATAATATTCGAATGGAAATATTTATTTCGTCAACAAATATTGCTCTATTCCATTAGCTTTTTTTCTCGTTCAGTTGTTTTCTCTAAACTTTTTTCTATGTTTTGTGCTTTTATATTTTTCGTCTTTCGTACAGGTCTCAACTTAGAAATATATTTTGTTGGCCGAAACATCCTAAATTTTAGTAGTCGAGAAGCTAAGTAAGCCGAAGACTAAGTGCTGGGTGAGGTACACTTGTTTCCAGCGCTGGGACGTGTTATGACCGCAAACCCAGGCATTCTCTTCAGAAGCTCATGTTGTGTAGAACCTTTTGATGCTCTTTATGGTGTGATCTTCTGATGCTCTTGATCCTATCTGGTGCCAGGTCTTAATAATCCTTCCACTACTAATCTCCTGCCGCGTGTAAGATAGTGCTAGCAGTTTTGCTCCGCCCGCTCTCGCGCGCATGTCAACATAGGCTTCATTGAAACTGAGCATAGCCGGGCTGTTGTTGAGTAACATGCTTTCAATTTGACTGATGGTATTAAGGAAATCAGATGATAAAGCAGTAATTTCTCATAGTTCTTCAATACCAATAAACATCCATCATTTTTCTGGGACTAACAAAGTCTAGCAGCCGAATGACCTTTGGATGACTACCAGACTGACGACCATTGGACGCTGAGGGCTGCTTATTATTAGCCCTCAGCGTAAACATCTACCAGTAATGGGAAAGTTTAGCGGTCCAATAACTTCCTATGCCAGTGATGAGATACAAACACCAATAGTTATCATATTTCCACAGACGCCGGCCATTTAAAGGAAGCGATTACGATAAGGAATTTTCGCATCGGGGGAGAACCTGCGCCACACGGAGCAATTACTTGGCTGCCAAGGAAGCGATGTGTGGCCTCCCACGGCGAAAGGTGCTGTGGTTGCTGAGCAGGACCCGCGTGACGCCCCGCCCCCAGTGACGTGACGCCCACTAGTTTTGTTGATGATCTGGATGGACTGTTTGCTGTTGGCTTTTCATTTTGGATGATCATTTCCCTTCTAGCGGCTGTATCTTCCAACTTGCCCACGTATTGCCTTATCAATCAAAACACTATGCTTGTTGGCATGATGGCGGCTATCGGGGTTAACACGTCCGAACAACGTCGTTCTTTACCGTCGCTCATCCATGGTCGAAAATGAAAGGGCAATCAAAGGGGTACTATTTTGCTTATTTTTGACGGATTTCTTTGCTTTTTTCGCCATTGGCGTACTATTGAGACCCCCACGTCCCCTCTAAACCCCTTTGAGATCTATCGTAATCGCTTCCTTTTGGAAGCCAGGGCAGATTAGCGGTCGAATGGATCACGACGACATCGCGAAGAAATGGTTTTCTTGTCCAACATCTGGATAAGAACTTCGGTGACATCTCCCTTCCAACGCTTCTTATCAGTCCCTATCAGCTGTTATCACTACCTGGTTCCCGGCAAATATGCTCCCGTCCCACCCCCGGAGCGACGCCTCACTGCTACTGGGTCGCGCGCTATGCATTTCGTGACGTCCGCGTTCTAACGCCCTTATCAGCTCTTATCAGTAGTTATCACTTTCTGTCCCCCACCAAATATGTTCCCGTCCCACCCCCTATATCATATCCTGAAATCAACTCCTGACGACTGCTGGTACGCGCGCTATGAATTTCGTGACAAACACACACACAGACCTACACACACGCACAGACATACTTAGCGAATTATATATAGTAGGACAGTCTCCCACCAAAAGTATCCAATTATTATAGACACAGACTACGCACCGACATGTTGGTAATCACTTTGATACTACTTACTATAAAGCGCTTCGTCTGTCGTTCTGTATGTCTGTCACGAAATTCCCTAGCTCCTCGGGATCCGCCTGGAGGGACCGGGTCAAGTGTGGGATGGGTGGGCAAGGTCTCACGAAGTACAAAACACACATCAGCTAAGCGGAGCCCCGCCCACAGTGGGCGTGGCGTGCGTCGAAATGAAGTGTACTGACGACCAAGATTTCAATTCTACAAAACACCTCGAAACTGGGCCAAAAAGTGGGTAAAGGTGTGCATTGGTAAGTCACATCGAATTAGGGAGACCCACCCCCGGTGGGCGGGGCGTTCTCCAAAAAAGCAGTGCTTTATGAAAAATTTCATAACTCGGTTGGGAGAAAGCCTACAGAGCAGAAAACAAATTGGTGTAGGGAGCAATGTCTAAGGTGTTCCCAGCATACATGACGTGGGCGGAGGCCCGCCCACAATGGGCGGAGCGCGCTCTGAAGTGTACAGCATTTTCTACAAGTCCTCATAATTCGGGCCGGAGAAGTCTTAGTGAGCCGGAAAAAGGTGGATAGAGGTGGGTGGAGGAGTGGAGGCCAACTGTCATCGGTGGGCGGGCATGACCAAAGTGGGCGGAGTTTGCGACGAAAATTCATAACTCGGCTCCAAGAAGTCCCGGAGGCCGGGAAAAAGGTGGATAGAGGTGGGTGGAGGAGTGGAGCCAGCTGTCATCGGTGGGCGGGGCATGACCAAAGTGGGCGGAGTTTGCGACGAAAATTCATAACTCGGCTCCAAGAAGTCCAGGAGGCCGGGAAAAAGGGAGTAGAGGTCGGCGAAGGAAAGGAGGTCAACTGCTATTAGTGGGCGGAGCACGCACCTAAGTGGGCGGAGTTTGCCAAAAGTGTCGTAATTTGGTTCCAAGAGGTCCCAGAGACCGGGGAAAAAGGGGTAGAGGTTGGCGAGGGAAGGGGGCCAAAGAGGATAATGGTTGACGAAGAAAAAGAGGTTGAAAGCCGTCGATGATGGAGCGGATAGAATTTAGCTGAGAATTCAGATATTCGTGGTGTATCAGGCCAAATTCGAAAATTTTCTCCGCACCATCAAAATTCGTTCGCTTTTCGCCCGGGTGTACTTTATATGAAAGCACACCCGGAAAAGCGTTCTTGTTCTGGTGTTATGGTTCTATGTAACGAAAAACGCCATGTGCAGTGATTCTTTTATATGAAACATTTGATAAGTCAGGCAGTAGCTCTGTGTGATATCCGCGAAATTCTCCTTAATTAGTGGGTGCGATAAGTGAAATGTCACATGTGCCCGCCTGTTACAAAATTACGACTTCATATGATGTTGCTTTGTCGGTCTACCATGATTTTATGTGATAACAGCATCTGATGCTACGTCCTTCCATTCTTCTATTGCCCTTCCATTACATTGGGTTGTTGCAGTATAAATGTCGCTTCGATGTACTTTCACCCAGCTGGGCGGCTTCTGAATCTCCAGAGGTGTTTCTGTATTTATCGAGGCAGGAAATCTCAGAGTGTAGAAGTGATGAATGTTGCGCATATCATTTTTTACTTGGATTTTCCCTTCAAAAGATGACTAACCAATATTGGAGAGTGTGCACGTGGAATGTTCAACGACATCTTGAGAGCTGAATCCAGCTCACACGGTCAGGGCAGGCTTTCGCAAACAAAAGCGACCTACATCAAACCGAGCATTGGCTTGGCGAGAAATAAATCAATGACTTCATTAACTCACTTCACGACGTCCATGCTGCAATTCACGAAAAAAATCGCCAGGCAAAAATGTGCAAGACCGCACTGAAACTTTTGACTTTTCCGCTAATCAGCTCCTGCCACACTCCATCAAAGTGTTGCTTATCC